CCGGCGGCCGGTGGTGTTGGAGGTGATGGTGGTGTACCCGATGGTCTTTGAAGTTTTCTAGAGCTGACCTTCGGGGTGTGAAAAAATTTTGTGAAGCTTGTTTTCTTTTTGTTTCTTATGTATGACTTGGGCCTTTCGTGGTAGGATTTCACTTATATATTAATCGGCAATAGCCGTGTTTGCTTTTATTTGCTTTGGTGTTATCTGGCATTGAGTATCTGCATTGTTAGTTGCTTTTTCATGTATTAAGAATCTTTGTTTGCTTTTGGATGGCTCTTCGTTAGGATTTTGGGCTTGCTGAGCCTTCTGCATAAAAGTTTTGTTGCGTAGTACGACTTTATTCTAAGACTTGTCTTTTGTTTGCTTTGTGTGTTTCATTATGTGAGCGTGTGTATGTGCGCGCGTGTATCCACTGAGTATCCCTTGTGTTTTTTGTGAGCATGTGTATGTGCGCGTTTGGATCCACTAAGTAACTTCTGTGTTTCATTTTGAATTCATCGTACATGGCCATGACGTATAAGATATTAAGATTAGCGCATTTTGGAACATCCTCTCTATTGTTATTATGTAATCCTGATACATACTAGTTTCAACACACTAAGGTTCCCTATCGGACTACACTAATCCGCTTGTCGGTCCGGGTGATCAATCCGGCCGCGAGATGTTTTACTAGAACTATCCTCCCTTCTGTGTAGGGGTTTGTGGGTTCGGTTAAAAGTGGAACTTTCTTAAGTTCCTTTTATTCCACGTTCTCGGGTTCTGTCTTCCCTCGGGTGTCTCCAAGGAGTATAACCCATTGCGATGCGCCTCTACCACCTTGTACGGCCCTTCCCATGTCTGGCTCGGTTTTCCACGGGGCTGTGCATGTCTGGACTCGTTTCTCCGCAGGCCGTAGTCCCCAACACGAAAGGCCTTATCTTTGACTCGCTGATTATAATACCTCTCCGCTACTTTTTTGTATGTGGCCTGGCGGATGCTTGAGCGTTCTCGGTGTTCTTCCAGAAGGTCTAAATTCTCCCTTAGGTCCTTGTCGTTCGTTTTCTCCTAGCAATACTCTGTTCGTATTGATCCCTTCACCATCTCTACTGGAAGCATCGCTTCGGCCCCCGTAGGCCAAGCTAAATGGTGTTTCTTTCATTATGGTTCGCGGTGTTGTTCGATACGACCAGAGAACTTCTGGCAGTTCGTCTACCCAATTGCCTTTTTGCTTTGCCGAGTTGTTTTTTGATCCTGTGCACCAGCGTCCTGTTAGACACCTCTGTCTGTCCATTGGCTTGGGGGTGTGCTACTGACGTGAATCTTTGCTCTATTCCTCTCTCTGCACACCAGTCTCTGAAGGGGTTCTTGGCAAATTGCATTTCGTTGTCACTAATCAGAACCTTAGGTGTTCCAAACCTTGTTATGATGTTTTTCCACATAAATTTAATCATCTGTTTTCCAGCGATACATGCCAATGGTTCGGCTTCTATCCATTTTGTGAAGTAGTCGACTGCCACGACCAAAAACTTCACTTTTCTTGGAGCTTCCAGGAAAGGACCGACAATGTCGATCCCCCATTAATAAAAGGGCCATGGGCTAGTGATGCTTGTTAACTTGGCCGGAGGTACGCCTTGCACCGGTGAAAAATTCTGGCACTCCACGCATGCTCGGGTCAGTTTGTTGGTGTCTTGATGTATGTCCGGGCAATAGAGCCCCATGCGTAGTATCTTGCTTGTGAAGGACCTCACCCCTTCGTGGGCTCCAACTGATCCCGCGTGGGCTTCCTGGAGAGCCTTCTTCTCGGTCTCGTTGTCTATGCATTTGAGCCACGGAGTTGTGTAGCCTTTCCTATACAATGGTCCCCCCCAAGATTGTGCACTGGGGAGCTCGTATTCTTGTTTTGCGTGCCTCCGTGTGGTTATAAGGAAGTATGCCATGCTGCAAATAGTCTATAATGGGTGTCATCCAACTGGGCTGTGCCATGGATAAAGAGTCAACCTGGCATTCGTCGATGCTCCTTTCTTTTAACATTTCCACCAGGACCTCCTTGGCAAGGTGGCCAAAGCATGTTGACGCAAGTTTGCTTAGGGCGTCCGCTCGCCTATTGCTTCCCCTTTGAATCTACCGTATGGTGCAACTCTTGAGTGAACTTGTGATCCGTTGGACTGCTTTAACATACTTTTCCATTCGTTTATCCTTCGCTTCGAATTCTCCAGTGACCTGGTTGGCTGCCAGGCGTGAGTCAGTTAGGGCTACTATCTTCTTCGCCCCCATTTTTACGGCCAATCTCAGACCGGCTAACAAGGCTTCATATTCGGCTTTATTGTTGGAGGTGTAGAAGTCGAAACGTAAGGCGTAAGTGATTTCCTCACCCGTGGGGATGGTTAGGATTAAGCCTGCTCCTGAGCCTTCCTTGCTGGAAGCCCCATCCGTGTAAAGGGTCCATTATTGGTCGGTCTTCTCCTCTGGGTGCCTTCGCTGGGTGATATCTATCATTTCCTGCTGGATCTCTCCCGAGATTTCCAATAGGAAGTCTGCCAGTGCCTATCCTTTGATACTCATTCTAGGGTGATAGCTGATGTCGTGTTCTCCCAGTTCTATAGCCCATTTTGCGAGGCGCCCGGACGTCTCCGGCCTTAGGAGTACCTGTTTAATCGGGCAGCTGGTCAACACCTCAATCTGGTGGTCCTGGAAGTATCGACGGAGCCGCCGTGCTGTGTAGATTAGGGCGAGCACCATCTTTTCAATGACTTGGTAGTTAATCTCCGACCCTTTCAAGGCCCGACTCACAAAGTAGACCAGGAGCTGCCTTCCTTGCCTTTCGACTACTAGTACTGATGAAATAGCATCCTTTGATGTGGATAAGTACACCTGCAACGTCTCGCCTGGTACTGGACTGACTAGCGTAGGAAGCGTGTGCAGTGCTTTCTTTATCTTTTACAGCGCGGATTCAGCCTCCGGTGTCCACCGAAAGTTGTTCTTTTCAATGCATCCCTTGAGTGTGTGAAATAGAGGCATGGCTTTCTCGGCTGATTTAGAGATGAAACGATTAAGCGTCGTTAGCTTACCATTCAGTCCCTGAGTGTCCCTCAGTGTGATTGGCGAAGGTGCGTCTTTAAGTTCATCGATTTTGACTGGGCTTGGCTGGATTCCTTCCTTTGTCACATAGTATCCGAGAAATTGCGCCTCCTCTACTCCTAAGGTACATTTTGCGGGGTTTAGTTTCATTTTTGGTTTCTCCAGGGTTTGTAGTGTTTCCTCCACATCGTGCAACAGTGTTTGCTCGTCTGGGCTTTTGATGACCATATCATCGACATAGACCTCTATGTTTCTGCTGATCTGATTGGCAAATAGAGAATCCACCAGCCGTTGGTAAGTTTATTATCGACATAGATCTCTATGTTTCTACTGACCTTGTTACCGTGGGAAGAGCAGTTCCGACGTTTACTTGTTGGCTTGGGTATTCCTTGTTGATTACCTCCCCCCGCGTGACGGATCCGACTTTGGCCTCTTGGCCTCGGTTGAAATGTCCTTTGGTTGCATAATCTCGTAGCATTTGAGCTCCCTTGGGGGAGTGGCTAGGATTTTCCCTAGGCCTTGGTTCGTGTTAAACTTTACTATTCCATGAATCATTGACGAGATTGCTCCGAGTTTCAGTAGGGCGGTTCGCTCCAGTATGACATTGTGTTCGGATGGGTGTCGTATGACTACGAAATCTACAAGGGCGGTCCGTCGCCTGGTCTTGTCTTGACTAGTGAGTGTGAACGGTAAGTGGACCGTACCTAGAGGCCACAGAATGTGCCCTGTGAATCCTATGAGTTGGCCTGCAACTGGTCTCAATCCTTCCTTCCATGCGTCGGGCAACAATCGAAAACAATGCTCATAGATGATGTCTGCAGAGCTCCCTGTGTCAATGTACACCCGGTGGATCATGGTGTCTCGAATGGAGCCCTGGATTATGAGAGGTTTATCTCCTTTCCACTCGGTTGGGCTTGGGTCATCCGTGGAGAAAGTTAGCCCTTGCATGGTTTCCATGATGCTTCGTACACTGGTTGTGCATTCCGCTCTCCCCTGCTTGTAGCAGATCATGAGGATTTCTTGTCGGTAGTCTGCCCCTCCTGCGTTGTCTTTAGGGTTTTTTGCGTCGAATTTAGCTCGTATACTTTTGGCGATCTGTATCACGTTTCCCTTCAAATGCTTCTCTTCCATCTCCCTTTTAAAACAGAGTAGTTGATCGTGCCATGCGTCCTACTCTTGTGGTATTCACAGTACCGCGTCTTAGTACCCTTTGCTACTGGTTTTTCGGCGATAGTATAAAAATCTGTTCGTCTTCCTCGCCTGTCGTCCCTTGCGAAAGGTCTGAACCGTACATATGGTCGCTTGTCCCATCCTGAGAATCTACCCCTTCCCCGGGGGTCGTGGTGGGAGGTTTATTGGTGGCTCCGTTTCCCGACCGGGGAGGACATGGCGTTGAGGTATGCTTGCTTTGACGCTTCACCTTCTTCTTGGCGTAGGAAATGTTCCACACGCTCTTTTAACTCTACTCTCGTCTGAGGTTGTTTGCCCATGAGCTTTTGGGAGAGTGAACCGGGAAGTAATCCCCATGTAAATGCGCCTACGATCAGTCCTTCGTCATGTCCCGGTGCATCTAACGTTGCTTTAGTGAACCAAGTGAATTAGTCCTTGACTGTCTCCCCCTCCCTTTGCTTACATCCGATAATGGAGTGACAACCGCCTTTGCACTTACGAAGCTGCATGAAGTTGGTTAAAAAGAGGTATTTTAGCTGGCTAAAGTTGTAGATGCTACCAGGGAACAATGTTTTGAACCATGTCCCTGCGTTGCAGTCTAGAGTGGTAGGGAAGTACGTGCACCATAAGCGTTCGTCTAGCTTGAGAGATGTCATCGTCCACTCGTATGTGTCGATGTGGTTGTCCGGGTCTGTGGTGCCGTCGTACGTTTTCAGGTAAGATAGCTTGGCGGTGTTGGGAATCTCGTACGCCAGCAACTCTTTCACGAATGGTTATGTGACACTGCACGAGAGATAGTCTGGTTCGATGTCCGTTGAGAAAAATAGTATCCCGGTTGCTGCATTTCCAGGAATGGCTGCAAGGTCTGGTGGTGTTGGGCCATAGAAGTTCTGCGGCTGGAAATGGGTGGAAAACGTGTGGGGGATGGGGAGTTGCTGGTATGGCATGAATGGCGGTGTTGGAATGGCTCCTGTCACTAAAGATGGGTAACTTTGCGCTTGGAAAGCGACACCTGGGCCACTAGCGGCGTTATTCGCCGGGGTTGCGGACACGTTCATGAGCGGGGGTAGTCCGTTAGTGGCTTGCGCCGTTGACGGTGGTGTTACTAGCGTTGTTTGTCGTGGCTCATTTTTGGTGTGAATGGGTGGCAGTATTAGACTGTAGCTGACGTTACTTGGTCCGCCGGTGTTAGGAAAAAATAGTGGTAGAGGAGGTGGAGTGAATGGGTTGGGTCCGCCGATGATGGGGAACAACGATAGGGTTGCACTATTTAGAGAGGGTGTTGGTATGTGGTTCTGGGTTGTGACGAAAGGTGTAGCCACTGTGATAGAAGGTGGCGGGCCACCGGATGATGGTGTCTCGGAAACCGCACTGATGGTCTGAGCTGGTGGCGTTACCGGGGTGCTGGCCGTCTCTAGTGAGACCATTGGTCGTATCGGGCTTTGTGGTGTTTCCGACGACTCGTCGGCGACTTCGTTCGTCATTTGTTACTGGGTTAAAGAGGAAAATGGGTTTGCGTATATGTTGTCACACAATCGTTCGTCGCCAAATGATGTGACCTTGGCTCCGACCACCTAGAGGGTGATGGATGAGTTCGCCGGAAAGGAACCTGAGAGGTCATAAAGAAAGAAAGCCGTTAGCCGTTCTCCGGGAGGAGGTCCCGAGAAAACGCTCTGACGGTCAAGTTAGTGGTGTATTGGAGAGTAAGGCCTGAGAATTGGGAGAGATCGCTTACCATTCAAGGCGAAGTGGTGGTCCTTTTATACTGAGGATCCTCCTCGGTCCGTACGAGGAACAAGGACTGTAGTCCCGACAAGATCCTCTATCCTTATTGGTAAGTCGTGTTCCTCTTTGTGTCAGGTCCAATGATTGGTCCATGCAATAATGCTCTGGATGTGCTCCTTGTCGCCTGGAGCCTTTATCCTTGTCTTGTAGTAGAAGGTGTTCCTTGGAGGGGACAGGCCTTTCATGCGGCCGTCCTGCTGGGGTGCCTAGCAGCTGGGGATCCGTCGGGCGGCTGTGCTGGGGCAGCCATGCTGAGGATCTGCTGGGGCGGCCAGGCTGGGCCTCGCTGGAGATCCCTCACTGGGGAGTACTTTTATTCCTGGCCCGCTCTGAGGGGCGTATCGTCAATCTCAACTATATGCAACTCAGATGTAAGCAATAAAAATAAAAACTTTAATAAATAAGGTAGAAGATTAATCCAAAAAGTAAATTTATATCATCTTTATAACTTCAGAATCAACGTTACACTAAAGTACTATAGTTCATCTATAAATGGAAGAAAAGTTTTTTAGCCTCTCATGTTTACATAAAAATAGAAAGAATACATAAAAAGAATGCTAAACACTAGAAACCTAATGTTTTCTTCAGTGATTCTTCGATAATTCTTCAAAAGGATCACCTCTTCAACTCCCTCTACCTTTAGGACATAATAAAGGGTTATTTTGACCACCCAAGGTATAACACCCCAAAAATACCTTGTAAAAATTTCAGTTTAAATGAGTCAAGTCAAAGTATTCTCAAAACATTAGAGTAAGATCATAAACAATCAATGCGTAATACATCTCCAGGGGATGCAGTGCGATCAAGCTGGGCCCTTCCTTTTGAAAGCAGAAGTACCTGAACACATTTTAAACACAAACCATAAGCACAAAGCTTAGTGAGTTTCCTCAAAATACCACATACCAAACAAGTAACAGGCCCAACCCAACGTACATGCTTCGGGCCCAACCCATATCATCGGGCCCAACCCATATAATCGGGCCCATCCCATCATACATACACATGCAAGAGTCACAAAGATAACTAGCATCCTACATACACAATCTAGTGGGCTGTCATTGGTGCCTTCAACCCACGAGTATAGTGAGAACACTCACGTCGTAATGTAACCAGAATAGGTGCTAAACGCCACCTAGATAATCGCACAAAGGTAAAACCTTACTATTCCCTTGTAAAACCAACAATTTGTCAAAAAGTCTACAAGTCAAAAAGTCAACTCTCAAAGTCAACAGTCAAAGTCAAAGTCAAAATTGTCAACAGCAGACCTCCACGTCGTGGCCTCCCTTTTGCTACATCGTTGGAACAAAATGCCAAAATATTTGACTGAGCCTAGTTGCCATGTCGTGGCAGCCTAAGGCCATGCCGTGGGAACTGGTCTGAATAACTTAAACGAGTTAAGTTGATTCCTTCCAATTCAAAGAGCTCCAAAGCTTAGATCTAGTCCTTCCCAAAGTCTTGATGGATGAAGTTTCCAACTTTATCCAATAAGACATACTATTATGACAAGACCTCTAAACCTAGGTCCTTAATGACATCATAATGCATGAGCTCATCATTTAAGCTCATAATCACTAAAGCCATCCAACCGAACTTTCCAGAGGACTTTTATACTCCAAAAGCATCACAAAAGTCAGTGCTTTATGGACATGCATTTCCAATGAATGTCTCTCCCAAATTAAGTCAAAACCATCAAAGAAAATGAACTCAAACTTGTGCATGAGGCCAAATACACCAAGGAACACTAGATCTGGAACATATAACCACAAATGGACCTCTAGGATCCATAAAGTTGCCAACTTTATGGAATCCGTTCCTTCAAACTCTCACAAAATGAAGAAAAGGGACAAGAACCCTAGATCTAGAAGCACAAACCAAAAAGCTAGGAACTTGAATGCTAACAATGGTCCAAAATATGAACAAGTCGATGATGATGATGTCTGCTTGCTGGATATGCACAAAAATGGATTCTTCTTCTTCAAACACCAAGAATACCAAAATGAGCCAAGAATCACCAAGGCGGTTTAGAGTTAGGGTTTTATGGGGTTTGAGGGTGATGGAGGCTGATATGGAACCCTAGATTCAAGCTAATGGGGTTTAAATACGAAGGAAACCCTAAAAGATCATGGACTTGGGCCAAAATAGATGTTATGAAGTGGCTATACTACCGCCACGCCGTGGCACTCATTAAAAATGCGTGGTTCCAAACCAAATTGCCACGTCGTGGTGATACCTTCTGTAACGCTTGGTTTAGGTATGAGATTATTCTTCAAATTGTTGTATTTTTCCTTTGGGACTCGGCGAGTTGGAGGCTCCAACTCGGCGTGTCAAGAGGGCGTTGGCCGCGGAAGGGTAGGAAACCCTAATTTTTAGGGTGTTGCACCTTATTTAAAGGCCTTAAGTCCCTTGACTGACCTCCTTACCAGCCTCCCTTGTCTAGAAAACCCTAATAGCGTGCATCATCTTATTTTGTGAGTGTGAGAGCTTGTAGAGGGCCTTGAGTGTTGATCTTTTGTGCTATTCTGAAGAAGCTTTGAAGTTGGAGGTGTAAAGCTTGGAGGGAAGACTTAGATCCAAAATCTCCCCACTTGTTGCCGTCTCTTGGAGGTACCAAGTTTATACCTTGCTTTGTTATCATCTAAATCTCTTTGTTTGGAGTTTTATCATGATTATGAGCTCATGGGTGGATCGTCCAAGAAGTTGTGTGTCCCAATGGTTGTTATGTTAGATCTGACCATGTTCTGGCCCCTTTGGAATTAAAGTTGCAAGCTTTACTAAGTTATAGGTCCCATTCATGCAATAAGTTCCTTTTTAGCCCATTTTGACCCCTAGGGTTTCTTTTTAGCATGCATGGACGTAAAGTTGGAAACTTTACGTGATTCTCCAGCCTTTGGATGCCATATATGTATTTTGGGACTATGTTTTGAGAGTTTAAGGGTTTAATGGGTCAAGACTCACTTTAATGAGTCTAGGGTTTGGGTTTGAATCACTTTGGATGGTTCCGAAGGGTAAAGTTGGAAACTTTACCCTTCCAGACATCATTTCGGAGGAGATCTGAGATTTGGAGTTCCTAGAGTCGAGGTGTAAGGTCCTAAAAACGGATCTTTACCAATGATCAAGCAATAAACAATCAAAAGAAATCAGAATAAGAGTAGAAGTAGAAAAGAAATCAAGCTTGCACAGGTTTATTGCTGAAAACGTCTGGTACAACTCGATACACTTGGCCGTAATCTCTAGAGCATCAACAACCTGACAATGACCTACAACTCCTCTATTTATACTAGACTTGGGCCGCAAACAGGGTTTACGGCCGTAAACAGGCTTACGGCCGTAAACTGACCATCTGGCCGTAAACTCACTAACAACCCACTAAATGCACTAAAGACTCAAAATAAACTATTACAATGAAAGCCTAGACCAAACCATTTACTGGACCCTTCAATCTCCCCCTTGGTTTGGTGCTAGCTTGGACTTAGTCTTTATCAACCACCAGCACGTTCGATTTTCCCATAGCTCCATTCCACATTTCCTTTCGGATAATCTCAGCAACCATAGCAGTGTACTCCTTAGCAGCGGACTCGAATAAGTCTTCAGCGACCTTGATCTGATGATGAGAAAGCTGATGTATATCCCATTTTCCGAACTATAGCAGATCCCTCTTGTCATATAGGCGAATACATCCATGCTCAAGCTTGATGACAGCGGAAGCCGTGGATTCATCGAACACCCAGTATTGCATGGACTTTAGAGATCCATCTGGATGGTTCTGAAGGATAGGAATCTGCTTCACTTGATCAGTAGCGGGCCACATCACAGACCGAAGAGGCTGATTGGTTTTGGGATCAATGACACTTGGGTATATCTTGATAATAAACTCTGCAGTCTTCATTGAGGGAAATCCCTTTGCCACTTGATTTTCCAAAAATAACTTGAAATGAGTCGCCTTGGGTTCATTGGAAGGATTTGCAAAAGAAGCCTTAGATAACTCTGTAAGGTCAATCCTGGTCCAAGAGTGGAAGTCATGAGCATCTTTGTACAGTTCAGTATTGCCACTCTTTCTTCTCACGATCCACATATTTAGAGTGTCGTGGAATCCCCATGAGATGATCCCTGACCTATCACCATATACGTCCCTGAAGAGATTCTCTCTAAGATCCGTAAAGGTGATGTTTGGTTGATCCCCGGGAGCATTCTGATCTGTGGTCCTTTTGAACAAAAACTGACCCTTCTCAGCAGACTTGGCCAGTTTAGCACGTTTTAACGCCAAGACATTCGGAGCCTGTGCTGGTTCTTTGTCAAAACGATCGACAACAGTGGTTGTTCTTGTAGGTGGTGGAGCTATAGGAGCATCTTGATTGGGAAGATAGATCTTTGGCTCATCGACAGACGACTTAAATCTGTCACCAAGTTCTTCTTCCAGTTTCTTCTTTAGGTCATAGTAGCTGGCGGTCAACAAACCAAAATGCGGCTGAAGATCAGTGATCTGCTTAGTCTTCAGAGCTTTGTCTTCAAGAAGATCAGCAACTTGAATGTTGAGCTTGGTGTTTTCAGTCTGAAGATCAGTAACCCGGATATCAAGCTCTATATTCTTCTGATTCAGCACATTGATCTCCTTCTTAAGTCCAAGGATTGTAGGATTATCTTCTCCAGAGCTGCCATCCCTAATAGATATTCCTTTACCACGTGAGGGAGGCGTTGTGAA